GGATATAAAGCATCCACCTGACTGGCAAATGGAGCCGCACTTTAATGCCTGATCCAAACACCTCCAACACGGCAACAAATCCAGCACTGCCCTGAATTGTCAACATTAGATTATATAAATTCAAAGTCTCCACATGGGGCTTGAACCCATAACCTTCTGACTCTGAGTCGTGAATGCTACCAACTAAGCTAGAAATTCTCTAAGTTTGGATGGTGTCCTTTGCAAATTTTGTAGTAAATTAATTGTTTATTGCAGAGGGTCCTAAATTACATGTTTTGTCTGCAGATTAAACATTCGCCACTCAGTCACTAGATGGTGCTACAATACCTATCAGCCACTGAAAAGGAAACTGCAGATTTCAGGTCCATGTTCACTGCTACACAATAATAATCCTTGCATTTCATACAGCACCTTATCACATTGTTGAAATATCTCAAAGCGCTTCATAGGATATACTGTGATGTGTAGTGACTGTATTTGCAGATGAACTCAGCAGCCAATTTGTACATTCCACAAACCTGCATGAAGTGTGTGACCAATTTTAAATGCATTGGTGCTTGACTCATAGACCACAATGTGCTCCTTAAGTACAAGCAGTTTCCTGGTAAAAAAAATATAGAAAATACTCACATTCATGAAAAAGATAAGCACAGTATAACATTTATTTCAAGCAGTTAAAATTTCAGTGCAGACCTGATAAGGATTGACATCTTGGGAGAAATATATATTCTACTTGCTATTAACCCCAGTGATTCTTGAGATTGCACCAGTTTTATACGGGTACAGGTGCATTTCCCAATGGCTGAGTTTGGAGGTGGGGGAATCCAGAAGAAGGGGACGTATCTTAAAATTGGAACTAGACCATTTAGGAGTACATTTTCACACAAAGCATTGTGGAAATCTGGAACTTTCTCTCCCAAAAAGCTGTGGATGCTGGATCAATGGAAAGTTTCAAGATTTGAGGTGGATAGATATTTGTTAGGTAAGAGTATCAAGGGATATAATAATAATAAAATCTGTGCATCTGATAAAGTGCCTTATCATGTCTTTGGGACGTCTCAAAGCGCTTCACAGAATAAACTGTAAAGTGAATTGACTGTATATTTTGTGGGTGAAATGTGGCAGCCAATTTCGCACAGCAGTGTCTCACAAACAGGCGTAGATTGAACGACCAATTTATTATTTTCTTTTAAGGAATTATTACCCCCGGAAAAACAATCCGCCAATCAACTAACAACTGGGTTCCTACTTACTGCTAGGTAAACAAAGGTGTATGTAGTTAGGAAGCTTGCCCAGAATTTTGGCCTGCTGGAAATCAAACCAGGTCTCTTGCTTGCAAGGCGAGTGCTCTAACCACTGAGCTACAGGACTCCATGTGGGGCAAAGGTAAGTGAATATAATACTATTATATTATATAAATATAATATACACAAAAATATATTTGGTATAATGCCTTTCACATCTGGAGGACGTCCCAAGGCACTGGGAGAAAATGGAGAGAATAGAGTTGAGGAACAGATCAGCCATGATCCAATAGAATATGGGAATAGGCTCGAGGGCTGAATGGCCTCCTGTTGTTCCTATGTTCCTTTAAGTTGGTGTTCCTGAGCCAGGGAGCGTAAAACTCAGCCAAGATTCTTGCTCCTGATCCCTCGTGCACAGTGGTAGCCACCCTTTTTCATCTGCCAACCAAATAATTTTTCCTTTATTTAATTTTTCTTCATTTATGTCTGTATCGCAGCTCAGTAGCTATTGGAAACAAGGAATTGATTTGGTATGGACTTGTCAGGCCACTATTTTGCCACTTCTTGAAGCTCCAAGAAGTCAATCGCTATCCACTGGTTGGAGACCCTGATCTAGCAGATTTAGTGATCTGGCATCTATCAGGCTTTTTGGCAAAACACAGCTACACTGCTACTAATCCTGCATGTTGTGCCACTCTTAAGATGATTACATTTAACTTTCTCCTCGGTGATATCTCCACAGCGATGTGAGTTAGGCTGTTGACTTTTTTTTCTCACTTCTACCAAAGTTCTCGTGCATTAAATGAATAGATAGAAACCCCACCTACTCCCCCCGGTACAACAGCCACTCAGATGGCACAGAACCAGCCTTGCAGTCCATCATCAGATTTGGCTCAACCACTTTCGAAATTTCCACCTCTCCCTCTCCAAAGATAAGACCTCCTTCTACTCCAAGGTCAACCTGGAGGTCAAGGACTACCCGAAGCTCCTTTTCTCCACTGCACATGGCCTCCTCCCTCCCCAAGCCTTCTTCATTCTAACCTCTGACACCAAATGCAACTGCCTTAGGAACAAAATCAATAAAATTCATCTGTCTGTATCTTCTGTTTTTTGCCCTCCCTCCATCCTTCCGCCCCATCCTCCGTGCCTTCTCCAATACCCCTAACCTACAAACTTTCACCCACATTTCTTCTGTATCCCTCCCCCCACCCTTTTAACCCACGTGAAACCCAACAACTGCTCCCTTGATACCCTCCCCACCCAATTGCTGATGATCCAAGTGCCCCTCCACTGCCCCCTATTGGTAGACATAGGCAACCTGTCCTAAATCCAGTAAAGCACTTTGAGAAATCCTCCAGACATGAAAAATGCTATATCAAATGTAAGAATTATTATTATTAACTCTGTGTCATCAGCCCTCCTTAAAAATCCCACCCTCAGTCCTATCCCTGCTCTGCCCTACCCATACCCATTAGTGACTGAGCTTTCAAATTGTTTACCCATAACCTCTGGAACTCTGTCTCACACCTTCCCTCTGTCTTCAAATCTATTTAAACATATCTCTTCGACCGTGCCTATGGTCACCTACTTCCTCTCGCAAGGGTTTCCACACACCCTCCTGCCAACATTCACTGTAAAAGTCACCTCTGAATAATGGCCATTTAAATGAATGGACATACCTCGCTAAACTTGCTAAGCCAAGGCAGGCTGGCATAGGCTGACTTGCACTTTCCACTTACATCCAGTTTACGGCTATTATGAAATGAAGTCTGGGTCACACAGAGGGTGTGTTACACGCCTCATACATTGAGTAATTGAAATCAGCACAGAATCAGATTAGTATTTATTGGTGTAAGCGGCTCACTGACCACTACAGTGAATTCATATCTGTGACACATAATGACAATCATTTAACCAAATGTGTTATTTGCCAGCTAGTCCCAACCATGCTAGCAGCTCCATTCTGTCATGCAGTAAATGAGACAGGATGCTCCCAGAATCCAGGACCCTGATCACAGTGACCAACCACTCACCAAACAACTGTGAGTTAAATCACCATGTAATTCATTCACTGGGTATTAGTTGGTCCTTGGCTCAGTTAATAGCACTCTCAGCTCTGAGTCAAAAGGTTCTGGGTTCAAAACCCATGTCAATAGTGCCATTGGATAAGACAATAACACAGGGACCAATCTACTTGTTTGGCTGGATGTCAAAGATCCTATGGCACTATTAGAAAAGAGAACAGAGTTTCTCCTGTTGGTGTGGCCAACAATCCCCCAAATAAAATTGGTCATTCACGCCATGGCTGTTTGCAAATTGGCTGCCGTGTTTGTCTACACGTTACATGTGCATCACACTTTACAGCGAAGTGCTTTGAGGTGTCCTCCCGGCATAAGGTGTGGTATCAAATGTAAGGATTATTCTCATAACTCCTGTGTGTGAGGCTTGTTCATTACTTGCTATCTGTGTCACATCCTGAGAATTACACAATAATGTGAAATATTGTGATGTCACCGTGTCGGGATACACCTGGTGGTTACTTGTTTGACAACATTTTTCTCCTATTAATTTCCTACTGTAACGTATTTATTTTTTTAAAAGGGTATTGATTTTGGCTAAGATTTACACTCCTGTATCCTGGTAGCATTAGCACATGAGTGAAGGCGTCACCACGTCCACTGGGGCTTAAGTTCACCTTTGAAAACTCACTTGTGGCACCAGGCTAAATGCTAAGTAACTTGAGAGCTTTATTCAGCTTCTATCACTTTAACACAAGCTCATGGATAAAAAGCATCAACATCTCTTTGCGTGTGTGTGTATGGAGGAGGGAAAGAGAGAAGAAAAAGAGAATGTGGCCTTAAATCACATTTCATTTCAAATTGATTTTTTTTTGATATACATAGAGAAAAAAAATGTACAAGCAGATAAAGTGAGCAATCGGTTTATCACATGGAAGTCTCTTGCCCAACCTCCAGATTTGTTCAGTGAGTGGGTGGGACTGAATCAGCTGAACAAACCTTGTATATCCACAGGTAGATCTGAGCTTGTGTCAAAGTGATCAAAGATGAACAAAGCTCTCACGTTACCGAGCCGAAGTTAACCCGGTGCCCGCTTCCCAATTGGTGACGTGCCTTCGGTCGCCCTCCCACCTCTCTGCCCTCCCTCCCTCCCTCCCTCACCCCCTACCCCACCCTTCCCCTCCCCTCCCCCATGCTCGGGTCCTGACCCCTGACGATCCAGCGCCTTGGGACGTCCCCCCGACGTGAAAGGCGCTCTTATAAATGTGACTTGTTGTTGTGGTGGTGATTTGGGGAGAAAATCGAAACTCAAATGTGAGCACTTGGTCGATTGCTGTGTAAGCTGCGAAATTCGAAGAGAGTAGAGCAATAGTGTAGAGAGTGTGTGTGGGGGGGGCGATGCAAAGAGGGAAAACTTAAATGAAGCGCCTTGAGGTCAGGTTCATGCGCAGTCTGTGTGGGAGGGTGGAGATAGAGAGGGAGACAAACAGGAATACTCAGTCTCTGCTCCTTCTCACTGATAAACAGAGACCAACCCCCCACACCCACACCCTGAACCATTGCACAGCCACAGCCAGGGAGTGAGTAAGTGAGAGAGACAGAGAGCAGTCCACACAGTGGTAAGAACTTCCCTCTTGACTTTTAGTCATTCTCTTTTCTGACTTTCAAAAGTTTTTTTTTCTTAAAAGTGTCAGCAGCTCCCCAGGGAGGGAGGGAGGGTCCCATCCTCCAAAGTAGGTCTATCCACTGTCGTTGGGGGCTTCTTTCCAGGCAAGAGGACGGTGGGGGGTTCCCTAAGGAAAGGGAACGTCAGGAGTATCACCTTGAAGGAACCAGGGAGCAGGTTTGCAGGGACTGGCCCCTGAATTCTCCAGTCTTGGCTTGAAATTGCAAGGAGTTATTTGAACCACTTCAGCTCTGGAGCACACACAGGACTTGACTGGGTGCGACTTCGCTTGGGCTGTTGATACTGAAGGTCTCGCTTTTTATACCCAGGTCTTGTATGAATGAAAGTGCAGGAGGACCACTGCCCCCGACCGAGAGAGAGACACACACACACACACAGAGACACACACACACTGTGAGAGAGCGACACACAAACTGTGACACACACACACACTGTGAGACACACACACACACTGTGAGACACACACACACACTGTGAGACACACACACACACTGAGACACACACACACACACTGTGAGACACACACACAAACTGAGACACACACACAAACTGTGACACACACAAACTGTGACACACACAAACTGACACACACAAACTGTGAGACACACACACACACACACACTGTGAGACACACACAAACTGTGAGACACACACAAACTGAGACACACACAAACTGAGAGAGAGACACACAAACTGTGAGACACACACACTGTGAGAGAGAGACACAAACTGAGACACACACAAACAGAGAGACACGCACACAAACTGAGAGAGAGACACACACAAACAGAGAGAGACACACACAAACTGTGAGAGAGAGACACACAAACTGTGAGACACACACAAACTGTGAGAGAGAGACACACACAAACTGAGACACACACAAACTGAGACACACACACACTGTGAGAGAGACACACAAACTGTGAGACACACACACACACACTGAAAGTGAGAGACACATACGCACAAACTGTGTCTGGTAAAGGAAAATCTCTCGTCGTTGTGCCCTGTTGAGTGGGTAAGCCTGATGCAGGTCAGTGGGATTGCTGCCCCTTATTACCCTGAGAAATGCACTTCAGTCAGTTGCAGTACTTGGCAAATAAGCCCTGAGCCCCACAGCCCCAGCACAGGGCGATTAGTTGAGTTTTTTCTCTCTCTCTCTCTCTCTCTCTGGACGTGCATTGATTTAGTTCTGTGTTTAGTTTCTCAGTCTCTCAGCTCGTGTGTGTTTTTTTTTTAATTTAAAAGCTCTCCAACGTGTGTGGATCTGTTTCTGAGACCTGCTCCACGCTTTCAGGGCATCTTTGGCTCAACACCCAGACTCTCTCTCTCATTGCTGTGCTCTTGGGAGGAATGTCTTCTCAGCAGTGGATTTGAAGCGTTTGAAGGTGACTCAGTGTGGCAGTAATCGCCCATGCACTTGTGGGAGGCAGCATCGCCTTTTGGTCAATTGCCATGCAGGAAGGGGGTTAACCCAGCCAGGAGGAAGCAAGGGGTTAAACCAGCCAGCAAGGGGTTAAACCAGCCAACAAGGGGTTAAACCAGCCAGCAGCTATTGCAAGGGTTTCGTCTCTTCGAAGTATTGCTGAACTTTGGGCTGTTGGGTGCTGACGTGTCAGCGGGCGTTTTAGTGTAAACTTAATCCACGCTGCGTTTCCCTTGTGGTCACTCAGTTCATAATGTCTTGTTGCTGATCCAGCAGATAAACTGCTAGGACAGGGCAGGCAGTGGGGATGAAAACTGTTGGGGAAGGGTGTGAATACTTAACCGTTCTCGTGGCTTGGGGTTTGTCCTCAGTCAAGACTTTGGGCAATCCCTGATTTTTAACTATTATTTTAAATTATCTACTGAGCAAAATAATTTATTTTTAAAATGCATCTACCAAATGCAAGCACAAGAAAGGTTACAGTCGGAGATGCGTATATTTTTTAAAATCACAAATGTTAAACTCTGGGGGTGGGAGGAGAGAGTTGCAAACTGGATAGATCGTCAATCTAGGAATGTGTAAAGTGGAAAATTATTGTAGTTTAATACAAGTGACTTGCCTGTCAGACCCAGGGCTCGTTGATAAAGAATACAGAACTGGTACTGGGCACACAGGTGGCTGAAAGTCATTAAGCAGTTCCTGCAGAATAGGTAAAGGCAAGATTTAAATAGTGTTGGACCAATGGAATGGGGAAGCAAATAATTGGCTTGAAGCAATTGCAAGTTGGTGAAATAGGACTCGGTACAATAAAGGTCTGATCTGAAGATACTGTCGTCTGAGATTACCTGTTTGTTTAATCTGACTGATTTCTCCCCTAGTTTTAAGATTCAGCCAATTTATGGATTGCCGAATTGTTTGCCGCGTGATTGACTGCTCTGGAATATTTGGACAAATGTAATAATGTTGATACTGTAAATTTTCCTTCCACTTTGTTTTCTGTAGCTTGCTTTATAAAATCTGTTTGTGTAGGAGATTGAGGCAACAAATTCTTTTTTTAAATCTTTAATAAATAATTAATTTGGTCGCTCAGTCCATCTCAGTTTGTGGGATACTGCTGTGCGCATTTGGCTGCCGTGTTTCACCCACAAAATACACAATCAACTCACTTTACAGGATATTCTGTGAAGCGCTTAGAGACATCTCACTGAAATGATAAGGCGCTATATCAAATGCAATTATTATTACAAGAATATTAGTTGTAGATGTGATCATCAGCAAAATGGTCAGCAAAACCAGTAATGTAAAACTGATATTATTGGGGTTTAATTTGTGATATTCACGGACCTAGTTAGGTGCAGTAATTGTGGGTTCTTTGCAAAAATCAATTTTTGAGATTCATAAAACAATGAACTGTGATTCCTGAAAGTAAGCAATGTTCAAAAAAGCTGGCAAGGAAAGTTAATAACTCTTGCATTAGATATAGAGCCTTATCATGTAATTGAGGATTCAAAGAATTTCATAGGTTTTTCAGTAAGTACAAATGCAGGTGACAGTATATTTGTAGGCAAATGCAGCAGTTAATTTTCACACAAACAGGCATAAAGTGAATCATTTTATTTGGGGGAATTGTTGGTCAGAGAACCGGGAGAAATTACTTTTTCAAAGTTCACAAATTAGAGTCTTTGTTACCAATGGTTCAGTTTTGGACTGTAAAGTCCAGTTTTAAGGGCATTGTGTAGTGTCCAGTCAGAAGCATTGACCGACACCAAATGTCCGGTTACTGCCCGCAGGCCTACAACTCCCAGTGTCCTCCATGCATCGGGCACGCATAGAGTATGCACATAATAACATAGTACTAGTGTCCAGTTTTGAGAAACTAGAAAGTTGACAACCCTAGTTACCAGACAGTAGCACTGGAACCTGTACCATCTCCTGCCTTCCACCGGTGTTTTTTTTTATTGGTTGCGAAACCACTTTCACTAGCCATAAAATTTGCCAGGGTATGATAATTATTTGATAAGACTCTGTTCTTCTATACAATTGAAAACATAGGAACAGATTCAGTCTGTTGAGTCTGTTCCACCATTCTATTAGATGGTAGTTGATCTGTAACTTAATACCATTTCCATTTAAGTGATGGTGTACCTGTTGAGTCCCATAGTGTAGTGGTTAGTGGGCTCATCTCGCAAGCATGAGGACCCGGATTTGATTCTCGGGTAGGGCAAAACCTTAGCCAAGTTTCCTTACACTACACGTCTCTGGTTATCTAGCAGTAAGTAGGAAACCAGTTGTTAGACGATTGGCAGTTTGCTTTCCACGGGTAATAATCCAGCCATAAAAAAGTTTGTAAAAAAATGGTTACAATTAATTTGGTGACTCAATCCACAACTGTTTGTGTGCCCACAACATAGTTGATTCACTTTACAATACTGTATATTCTGTGAAGCGCTTTAGGATGTCTAAACGATTAGATAAAGCATTATATGAAATGCAAGGAATATTATTGTAGATTGTAAATGATTTGTAAGTTAATACCATTGACGTGATGGTGTACAGACGGCAGGAAGTGACTCAAGTGGATGAATCCGTTGCTAAAGCTACTGGCTTGAGCAACACTGAACACTGATGATTTGATTCTCCAATCTGTGCTGTTTGCTAATCTTGGCGGTTTGGGGAGTGCTATATTTGGTTTGTTGTCCCTGGACTTTAGAAGGAGAACATTTTTCCAGACTTTCCCAATCCTGATTGTATCCGGTTTCTCCTGTTGAAAAGTTGGCACTTGTGGATGGTTGGGTGAGGAAAGGATTGAACTCCTGTTCAGCCAGTCTACAAATCCTCAATGTGACCACTCATAAAGAACAATTTACATTTATGTAGTGAGAGGATGTCTTAAAAGTGCTTCACACAGCCCAAGGTGAGGGTGGTGACTGAAGCCACAGTTCAAAAAAAGTAGTTCTTAAAGTGGACCTTAAAGGTAGGGAGGATGGAGCTAGATGGAGAGTCTCCAGAATGACTACTTGGACAAGTTAAGGGGTTGCTTAGTACTAGTAGAAGTGCAGCCTCAGGTCACACTGGTCAGAATAAAGCTATCATCAGAAATCCCTTTAGTTTTCAGAAAGGGATCATTTCTGTTGATACTGTATTTGGATCAATTGTTGACTGGTTTGTGGCTGGAGCAGTTAACCCCAGAACAGCATAAAATCTACTGCCTTTAAATTGTTAACTCAATACTCAATAAGATTATCAAATACTTTTAATGGTCCTTTGGAATGTTTATCAAAACAATTAGTGGGTGCGGTGGAAAGGTTCCCATGTGAACTCCCCCACCCTTGCCTGATAGTCGGCTTATCTTTGTTTGGCCATCATAGCACATTTGCAGTGACTTTAAAGGCTAAAGTGTGCTGGGTTATTCTTATGGAGATTGGCCAAAAAAAGTAGTAGATAAATAAATAACTAGATGGAAGGGGAATTATGTGATTAGGTTGAGGCCTGTGTAAATTAAAGAAATGCACAATTGGTATGTAAAACATTTGAGATTAAACCTTAACAAACAGTTTGTCGCTCCCGTTGCAACACTAAGCCATGCAGAACAGCAACAACAAAATTACATTTGTATACAACAACAAGATTTCATTTATAGAGCGCCTTTCACGTTGGGAGGACGTCCCAAGGCGCTGGACAGTTGGGTCGAGACCCGAGCAGGGGGGAAATGGTCAGGGTGAGGGAAGGGAGGGAGCAAGGAGGGGGTAGAGAATCGAGAGGGGAGCTGAAGGCATGGTTGAAGAGAATAGCACCTTTCACGTCGGGGGGGGGAGGACAGAAAAGAATGGCTTTGAATCTCTGTCTTTGCTGAGTTAGC